GAATCCTATCCTTTCCTCTTCTAGGAACTAAGAACTAAGGAACTAAGCTTCGGGGGGGGGGGTTTGTAGGGATGACCAGAGACTGGCGCAGCTGGGTTCCAAATATTTCATTAATCGCTCAACCTCCATATGCCTTATTAAAATCAGATCGACCTGATCCCATTCAATGGAACCCTAAAGGAAGGCAAGCTGTAGAAGCTCCAAAGGAAGAATGACCTAAAGTGCCAGCTCCCGGGATACCCTAATTATAAACTTATTTCGTTCCCCTTCATACATGAAAATAAAGGAAATGCTTTAGGAGCTCTAATTCAGAAACATGGAGCCCATCATAGTCCTATAGGATATTATAGCCAGCAAGTAGACTCGGTAGCCAAACGGCTCCCTCCCTGCAGGACCACCATCTGTGCTACAGCCATGTTATGCAAACAAGAAATAGCTATGGGCGCTCCTTTAATCATTTATGTTTCTTATTCTTTTCTAAACTCTCACCATACTCAGCATTACTCGGTCAGCTGACTGACTTCTTATGAAGTACCCCTGCTTTCTGCGCCTAATATTACTGTAGCTCGATGTGACAGTCTTAACTCAGCAACTTTACTACCTTCTTTACAGGATGAAGACACTCATCATTGCATTTTACTTACTGACCACTTTGTTGCTCCTAGGAATGATTTACAGGAAACTCCTATTGATAATGCTGAGTTGTTTTGGTTTACAGATGGATCTTATCTCAAAGACTTCCAACAGGGACATTACCGAGCTGGATATGCAGTAACTTCCCTGGTGAATGTAACTGAGAGTTCTCATTTACATGAATAAGATCTGCCCAACAAGCGAAATTAATGGCTCTAACTCGAGCTTGTCAATTGTCCAAAGATCAAGTAGCCAATATTTACACTAATAGTCGATATGCCTTTGGTGTAGCTCAGGACTTTGGAATGTTATGGAAGCAATGAGGCTTCTTAACTTCCTCAAGGCAGATCATAAAGAATGGAAAACAGGTTGCAGAATTATTAGATGCCGTACAGCAACCGAGACAATCGGCAATTATCAAAATTCCAGGACATTCTAAAGCTACCACTATGGAAGAAAAAGGAAACACTTCAGCTGATGCTGCAGCTAAACAAGCAGCAGTAAACAATCAAATTACCTGGATACAAGAATGTTCTTTGCTCCCTGCTAAATCAATAAAAGATTTCCTTTAACGGTTCCAAATGACAGCTACAGAAGAAGAAAAGACACTATGGCAACAAAAAGGGGGAAGCTTTGATCCAGAAAAACAGATATGGCTTGGACCCAATGAGAAATCAATCTTACCTATCAGGGCTCAATTACCTACATATACTCCAACATGTGCATGAGCTAACACATGGGGTCCTGAAAAGATGATTTCATGGAATAAACAATACTACTGGAACACTTCTCCCACTGTGGCTCATAAAGTGTAGAGCAGGTGTTCTCTCTGTCCAAAATATAATCATAGAAAACCACTTCACGGGTCCCAGGGACAGTTTCTACTTCCTTTAGGTCCATTTGAGGTATGGCAATTGGATTGTATCTCAAGGATACAAAAAGGTTAGTCATGATTTGTATGTTTTCTCATTAGGTTGAGGCATTCCCTTGCAGGAGAGCAACAGCCTTAATGATAGGGAAGTTCTTAGAAAAAAACAATTCCTAGTTGGGGAATTCCATCTGAGTTGCGTAGGGACCCAGGGACTTGTTTCACTGGGCAAATAATGCAGTCCATCTGTAACATTTAGCCAATTCTACAGCATCTTTATTGTTTGATGTCTCTTCCAATAGATAAAACCTGTCACCCCCAGTCCTCTGATTGGTGGAACATACCAGTGGTACAATTAAAACTCAACTAGCTACATTTTCAGAAGCTTTGAATCTCCCTGGCCAACACTCTCCCTGTCACACTCCTCAGCCTTAGATCTACACCTGTGACCTTTCTCCTTATGAAAAAGTCACTGGTCGCCCTATGCATCTACATGAAGGGACATATGAGTCAACCTTACTAAAAGGAGACATTCTGCATTATTGTCAAGGACTTATTAACCAGCTTAAAGAAAATGATAAATTAATAAGTGATTCATTTTACAGTGCACTCAAGGGAGATAAAGACTTCAAATATCATAGTTATAACCAAGAGATTTTGTCTATTGGAAGAGACATCAAATAACGGACTCCAACCTCGCTGGAAGAGACATTACCAGGTGTTACTAATCCATGCGCAACTACACTTAAAGGGGCAAACTCATGGATTCATATTTCTCATCTAAAAAAGGCGCCTATTCACGAATGGACGTCTACCCTTGTCTCTGTCACTTGCCTCTGCCTACCACAAACATCCAAGACTCCTCAAGGGTGAGAAGCTGGACACCAGAGGTGGACAGCTATCCCAAGACATCGACAAGGCCTGTAAACCTACGGACTGATGTTGAACTCAATCCATTTTGTTTTGTCTTTACCTGTCTGTTAATGATATTAGTCATAACAATAGTTATCTTTGTTCTTTGGGGTTTTCTATATAGTCCAACTGTTTATGGCTACTAAAGATGTATAAGATAACTGTTAATATTCTTTTTATGGCTTATGTCAATGGTATAGCAGATGCAAAATCTAGAAAAATGAGAGACGGCAAAACTTGGATCATGAAAATTCACAGGATAGAAATGATCCAGAGCGTTTTTCACAATGAAGGCCATAAGACCTGACTGCCTCCAATTACCTGCCCAAAAAGGGAAAATTCAGCCTCAACTCACATTCCATGGTTACGGTATCGCTCCATTCCCAAAGGTCAAGAGGACCAATACTGAGACTTCCTAGGAATGAACCTTCCTAGCGCTGTGAGACCACACTGACTGACCATAAGGTTGGTCATCAGTGATCCTTCAGACTGATTTATGACCACAAGGGAGAATTGCCAGCTCAAGTTAAAGGTCTCAGGGTCTTTCCACCGAAGCAGCTTCAGGTGAGCAGAGCCGGGCCGATGAGGTATGTCGCTCACAGTAACAAGACCAGGGTGTGACCATGAAAACTTTCCAGCCACACAGGAGTCAACTTTATGGCAAAGCATTGGAAAGGGCTGCCATGAGTTTCCCTCCCTCCATTCCTAACTTCCCCTCCTCTTAAAAACCAATGTGCTGAGATTTTTTTTTTTTAAAGATTTTATTGGGGAATTGGGGGAGGAGGACAGCCAAGTTGTTGTCCTTCAATCTTAGTTGTGGAGGGCGAAGCTAGCTCAGCTCCAAGTCCAGTTGCGCTGCTCAGCTCAAGGTGCTGTGTTAAATTAGTTGCGGGTGGGCGTAGCGACCATCCCATGTGGGAGTCGAACCAGCAGTCTTGTTGTTAGGAGCACACGCTCCATCCACTGAGTCATCCGGGTGGCAGCTCAGCTCAAGATGCCGAGTTCAGTCTTAGTTGCAGGCTGAACCATCCTGCCACCTATTGGCAGCTCAGCAGCAGCTCAGCTTGGGCACAGCTCGCTGGTCCATGTGGGAATCAAACCGGCGACCCTGTTGCTCAGAGCTCGCAGTCTTGAGCAAGCTCTTAACCAACTGAGCCACTTGGCCGGCCACATGTGCTGACATTTCTAGAGGTGTCAAGAGCTATTGGTCTTAGGCACCCAGTAAAAACCTTAAAAAAACACACTTTCCGTGCGTGTGTGCCTTCAAGGTAAAGACGTTCAACAAACAGATGTTAGAAATGTTTCCATGGACACAACTTTGTGACCAACAATGTGTTTGACCAATAAACACCCTCGTACCTACACATTTAAAAATCTTGGGAGCAGAATCTGTGTTATAAAATTTAGACATAACTTACATACCATAAAATCTACTCTTTGGAAGTGTATAGTTCAATGGTTTTTGGATCCAAGTTGTTTGGCCATCACCAGTAATTCTAGAATAATGTTTTTAGAACCTGTAGAGTTTTGAAATGTAGGGTCTCCTTGGGTTTTAAATCCATTTATGAAACAAATAGGGGCACCTTCCCGTTGGTTGGTAAGATGGACTAAATGACAATAGAGAAGACAGAAATAGTAGCTGGGTTTTCAGAAAAGCCTTTGCATAATTTGTGGACAGCGTTTCAAATGAGTATGATGATTTAGCAAGCCCAGCTAATGATGCCATTCTTCCAATGAGCTCCCGTGTGTGACAGCCCCTAAAACCCAGAATTGAAATAAACTGCCCCGAGGGTCAGGCCGTCGAGTTGATGCTACACAGTGTTAAATCAAGAGTTAAGTAAAGAAGGAAGCACGTTCAATCATATTACTATTTCTAAGGGAGCAAAGTCCCTTGTAAATGTACAAATAAATGTGTAAT